TGGCGCGTTTTTGCTGGGGTTTTAAGGATGACCCCTAACCTCACACTAGCTGCTTGAGCAAAAAAACTGCAGCTTTGTGCAACCATGTTTTTCTACCATGTCAAACCCATACCATGTTGCTAGTTTTTTTTGGTGGAAATTGTTTCCCCTTCATTTAATCTTGTTCCTTTTTCTTTGGTTCCCTCCTATGTGTATATTTTCCGGGGGTTAGAATTACTTTGTTTTTTTTAAGGTACCCCAAAATCAGTTAGTATCAAACATCCCTTTTGAGGGTTGCACCTTCCTTTTGGGGGTCCAAGCCTCCAAACAACATTTTACCTTTTGTTCCTTTCTTTGAGCCATGTGCTTTGCACATGGGCAAGTTCACACTACTGGCCTTCTTTCAGGCCTTGCAATTGCTCCCAATGTGCTGAAAGCTTCTGGCATTCTTTCAGGCCTTGCAGCTATTCAGTCCACATCTTTGAGCAAAGCATCTCTCTTTTGCGTCATCTTTTCTTTTGTCATGCTTTCTTCCATGGCCACCTTTTCCAATTCCAAGACCACACTGTGGTGGCCACCTGGATAGATTTGCCCCATTTTCTTGGTACAGCCAATGATGAGCTTCCATTTTGAGCCAAAAAGACCCATCAGATAAGCTTGGTCCTTCCCTAACACCTTTTTCACTGCTGACCAAGGCCTTCTTTCAGGCCTCAAGCTTTCTGCTGCTTCCATTCCTTCTTGGCTTGCTCTGGCTGCTGGCCTTCTTTCAGGCCTTGAGCTTTCTGCTGCTGCTGCTTCTGCTTCTGCTTCTTCTTCTTCTCCTTGTTCTTCTTCTTCTTCTTCTTCTTGATCTCTCTTAGCTGCAGGTTTTTTTTTGGAACCTGCCTTTTGGCTCAGCTTGCTTGCAGGTCTCTTTGCAATGGATGGCCTTCTTTCAGGCCTTGCCTTTTCTACGAAGTCCTTGGCAGCAGCTTTTGCAGCCTGCTCCAGCTGATCTCTGTAGCTGGCCCTTTGTTTTCCAAAATGGAAATTGATTTTGGATCATCCTTTGAAGCCTTCTCCTTTTCCATCTTCTTTGGAGATGCCAACATGGCTGGAAACCCTTCTGAATCCAAAGACACCTCAGAAACTTTTGCCTTCAAAACCCTGGCCTTCTTGCAGGCCTCGGCTCCTTGAGAAGCAGGCAAAGAAGCAGAACTGGAACTCTTGGCCTTCTTGCAGGCCTGGGCCTCAGAAGAAGAAGAAACAGAGCTGGATCTCTTGGTTTTTTTGGCCTTCTTGCAGGTCTGGCCATCACCAGAAGCAGGGGAGCCTTGCACTGGAAGAGTTGCTTTCTTGCAAGCAGCAGGCAAAGCCACAAGCTCCTGGATGGCTTGCCTTTGCTCCCCTGTGGCTCCCTGCATGCACTGCCTCCTTTTGCCAGCATCCCTTCTCAACCTTCTCACATGGCTGAGAAGGCACACCAGCTGACTTGCAATCTTTCCTGCCCAAAGATCATCTTTCCATTCGCTGGTGTTGTGAGACTGGGCATGTTTTAAGATGCATTGCTTCAGCTGCCCTGCAAGGATCTCACCACTGGAGATTTTGTAGAATTCCTTTACGTATTCTACATTGAAGTGCACACTTTGGCACTCACTGCTGTGGTGACTTTTTTTTTGTCATAGTCACCCAGCTTGAAAGCACACAGGCCTTTGGCATCAACAGCCTTGTCAATGATGCTTTGCAAAGCATCAATGTCCACTGGTGCCACAGTAGACCTTCTGGCACCACCTTTGGAGGCCATGGCTTTCTTTCAAGCCTTGCAGCTCAAATTCAACAAGCTTTTGAGATTGCGTTCTTTCAAGCACACAACATGCCAAACCCTTCAAAGCTGCTACCCTCTAAGCAAAAAAACAGCTGTGGGGAAGATTAAATTAAAAGGTTCAGCATGACCCTTGGGCTTGGCATTGGTCTGAAATTGATCTTTACAGTCTATGATATTGGTCTGATATTGATCCCATCTGGTATCATCTGGATCTGGAAATCCCTGATCTTGATAATCCAAAGGATTGAGCACCTCATTGAGGAATCTTTTGATCCTCTGAAGATCAAAGACCCTGGCCTTCTTGCAGGCCTCGGCTCCTTGAGAAGCAGGCAAAGAAGCAGAACTGGAACTCTTGGCCTTCTTGCAGGCCTGGGCCTCAGAAGAAGAAGAAACAGAGCTGGATCTCTTGGTTTTTTTGGCCTTCTTGCAGGTCTGGCCATCACCAGAAGCAGGGGAGCCTTGCACTGGAAGAGTTGCTTTCTTGCAAGCAGCAGGCAAAGCCACAAGCTCCTGGATGGCTTGCCTTTGCTCCCCTGTGGCTCCCTGCATGCACTGCCTCCTTTTGCCAGCATCCCTTCTCAACCTTCTCACATGGCTGAGAAGGCACACCAGCTGACTTGCAATCTTTCCTGCCCAAAGATCATCTTTCCATTCGCTGGTGTTGTGAGACTGGGCATGTTTTAAGATGCATTGCTTCAGCTGCCCTGCAAGGATCTCACCACTGGAGATTTTGTAGAATTCCTTTACGTATTCTACATTGAAGTGCGCACTTTGGCACTCACTGCTGTGGTGACTTTTTTTTTGTCATAGTCACCCAGCTTGAAAGCACACAGGCCTTTGGCATCAACAGCCTTGTCAATGATGCTTTGCAAAGCATCAATGTCCACTGGTGCCACAGTAGACCTTCTGGCACCACCTTTGGAGGCCATGGCTTTCTTTCAAGCCTTGCAGCTCAAATTCAACAAGCTTTTGAGATTGCGTTCTTTCAAGCACACAACATGCCAAACCCTTCAAAGCTGCTACCCTCTAAGCAAAAAAACAGCTGTGGGGAAGATTAAATTAAAAGGTTCAGCATGACCCTTGGGCTTGGCATTGGTCTGAAATTGATCTTTACAGTCTATGATATTGGTCTGATATTGATCCATGATATTGATCTGATATTGATCTGGTATCGATCTGGTATTGATCTGGTATTGGTCTGGTATTGATCCTGGTATTGGTCTGATATTGATCTTGATATTGATCTGATATTGGTTGGATATTGAAAAATGGATCAATCCTCAGGATTGAAAAAAACAGCTTTTACGATTGAAAAAAATCAAGTTCAATATTATTGATCAGGATTGATCAGGATTGATTTTTTTCAATCCCGGATCCTCAGGGAATATGAGAAGATGTGAAGATGAGAAGATGTGAAGATAAGCAGATGTGAAGATGTGAAGATGTTTGACAGACCCCCACTATTAGAAGAACCCTTCGCTCAGACGCTCTCGGGAAAAAACGGAATCATAATATCTTAAAGGGCCATTTTCTGAATGACACTGACACTAAAAGCAACATCATAATGTGCCGGTAGCAGATAAGACCATATCAATCGCTTGATGTTTCCTCATTCCATCTCTTTCCCAGCTTGCCAGGCAGAAAACAAAGGTCTATGGATTTAAAGAAAAACGCTCCTGCGTCCATCGCCGCAATGGCCGCTGTCGGTCACACACAGTGGTGGCCCTCTCACCGAGGACCAACAATTGACCCGCAAGGCCCTGGAGCTCTTCCCAGCTTTTGTACAGCCTAGCCACGGCCCAGAGGGGAGGCATGCAGTGCCCCATACATAATCATAGCAAATATCCAGCAATGTTCTTAGAAGCATGTCGATATTTCAGGAAACTTGAAAGAGCTGGGCTGACTGATTCTGCGTGCTACGTGCCTGTGCAAAAAGATCAAAAATAATCCAAATGCTCTCAATTCAACAAATATCATCAGCATCTTCACAACGCCTGTCACTGGGCTCTTGCAGTGGCCTTAGGTGCTTTGATTTCTCCGAGACATCGCTCTCTCCAAAAAAAAAGCCAGTTTTTGTCAGAGGGTAGGGCAATATAGGATGGAGCATGTCCCAATCTGACTTTAAGCTATCTTCGCGGTACAATATGGATTCTGATTTTGATTGCGATGCAAATCTGCAAGCGCTTGATGTATCAGGCAAGTTGCCGAGCCATCATGTAGGAAGGCTCACCAAAGCCCCATTCCTGGAAGCAGGATGAAGCAGGATGAAGCAGGATGAAGCAGGACAGATGCTGCAGCATCTGTATCTCTCCGTCCTTCGGCTCCAGGAAGGAGCTTCGCAAGTAGGCCAGCTCCAACTCATCCATGGCTCATGGACGCTGACCGATATCCCAAAATGCAGACATGGAGAGAAATCGTGCAATTGACAAAGGGTACGGTATGTGATCCTAGCCAGTGGCGACAAGAATAACAAAATGCCCAAGAATAACAAAATGCCCAACCATCCCATACATTTATAAAATTATAAACCCAAATATGCAGAAAGTGCAATAGGTTGTCAAAAAAAGAGCCAACTGTCAGCAGTCAATGCATTTTATATCTTCTTGTTGCAACGTCACCCTCGGAAAAGGAACATTGGCCAAGCCCCATCATTCTTGGAGGTGTCTGTGTGGTCAAAACTTGCCTTCTATGTCCTTCCTATGTAGCCCATCATGAGCTATTTATTTCTGCAAAAGAATAAATCATGCGAATCATGCTTTAATACTCGATCAATGTGAAAATGACTCCCTAATGAAACCACGTGTTCATCGATTCTTTCAATTTGCTCATTGCATCTTTCAATTGGTTCCAATCACTGCTTATATAAGTGCGACCTGCCCGTGAGCAATTTTGTTTCCAAATGCTTGAGGCGTGTACGGCAAAACAGTACAACCACTTTGTTAGAAATACTTCGTACTGAGGCGTGAAGTGTACACGCATATGTATCGGCCTAGCTCTACAAGTATGTACCTACATGTCCCTACTACATCCAAATATTGGGGTGGTTCTCGAAATTAGGGCTTGCACAGGTGCCATTCAATCTGCTAATTATATATTCTGAAACATGTCTGGGAGCTTCCCGACTTCCCCTTCAAGAAATTGATTCATCGATTCATCGATTCATCGATTCATCGCCATGCTGATCCATGCTACTCGAGGTGCAATTGCTCCGGGATTTCCAGCACCTCCATCTCGGCATCATCTGCAGCGGAGCCCTGAAGAGCCACACTAAAGCCGGTTCCCGCATGAAGACTGCATTGCTGCATAGGCCACAAACTCTCTCTGACATTGTTTTTCTTTCCATCCCTGTCTGTATTTAGTCTATATTTATCATCTAATATCCCTGGAGACGTGTCTTTAAAAATCTGCAATGCAAGTCAACATCAACACTGCCTCCAATTACCCAAAAGTCTCCAGCCCCTCAACCCGGAATGGATCCTCGACCGCTGCAGTGATGACCTTTGCACTAGTACGTACCATGGAAATGGTCTCAAAAGCTGAGCTGACAATCATCTCTTTCTTCACAGATCACCGAAAAGTAAGCCAGGCACTGCCATTGAGTGACTGAGTGCAGGACAGCTTTCATGACATCCTCATCAATGACGGACTGGAAGGAGCTTTTGCTGGCAGCATTCAAATGAGCCTGGCATTTGATTCTCAATGACATCCACAGGTGCGGACAGATTGAAAGTCCACTACTACCCTGAAAGGTGAGAGCGTGCTGATCATTGCCAAGATCTGCCCAGCATTGATGTTGATACTCGTCCCGACTTTTGCGTGTGCCAGCCAATCAAGCAAAACAAATGACACACCAAGTAATAAAGCTGACGATAAAAACATGAACAAGTTGGTTTCTTTTCCGCCACATGTTTCTTTTGAAGTGGAATGCAAGACACGTCTTAACCTCGTTCTTAACTTCTTGACCTGAATCATCCTGGTATCTGTCACTTGCAACAAACACGTGGCGCACCTTGGTCAGCGACACCAAGGTCTCCACTGCGCCTTCTGGATCGTCACCACCTTCCAGTGATGTCCAAGGCAAATGCACATAGTGCCCAAAGCATCCCATACGGGAAATATCCCTATGGATCTCCGGGAAATGGATCCCTATGGATCTCCGTTTCAAATTACTTAAAATATCTTAAAATTGGCTCAGCTTCAGGCAGGTCTCCAAGAAGGAGGTAATCAGCTTTGCAGCCTGTCATCGTACAGGTCCAATTCATTCAGCAAGAAGAACATGATAATGATGATGAAGAAGAAGGTGAGGATAGAATGGCAATTAAAAAGAAAGTAAGCCATTGAATAGCAGTTGTTTGCAATCGATCTGGATGTAAATGATGCAGAAGTAAGTGCTCGAAAAATCTGGTGAAAGTCATAGTAAGTAAGCGGGTAACAGTATTCCAAAATGCAATGTATTCAAAACGTTCAGTCTGATGCAAGAGGGTTTGAAAACAAAGCCATAAAATCCTTCAAACGTATGCATACGATTTGGCAGGTTCCAGCGTCTTTGTTGATTAGCTGAAACCAAACAACACCTTTGGGAATCTGCTATCTTCGACCTGGTACTCTTGACTTGCGGGGCACCATGCTCTGCCTGTGTGTTGAGGCAATAGCCCAATGCATTGAACTCCCGCAGCCATTCCGACCTTTGCACAAGCGTGGTACAGTTTTAGACTTTAGACATGATGTTTTGAAACTGCACAGGATCTTGCAAGTGGATCGTGACGTGCAAACGATGCAAACACCAGGATTCAAAGGTAGAAGCATAGAAAGAATGGCACAGAAAAAACCCTCGCGGTTTGTTGTGATCGGGCAAACTGCTCATTCAACCAAGCCCCAAACTGGCGCATTGTCACTGATGGCCACCCCCTCTGCCCAAAGCTAAGCTATCACAAGTGAGCCAGGAGCAAGATGGCAGTTTTGCAGCTCAGAACGATATCATTGCAATGATAAAATATTAAATAACAATATAACATATGATGATCTCAAAATATATATGTCGTTCCATGACGTTCCGCTTGCATAGGTGTGAACCAAAGTCAGCAAGTCGTGCAGCAATCACTCTCTCCCTTATACACCACACCACCACATCCCCACCATGAGTGGCTGCCCTCCAGTTTCCGAGGTGCCTCCTGGCTGGCAGGCTCTGGTAGCTTTGGTTCCTGACCGCCAAGGTTGGACACACCTACAGCGATAAATTAATGCTTCCGACTCAGATCGACATGACAATCACAATATAACATAATATAACATATATAACATAATATAACTATTTGCGAGAATAAACATAATTGTCGTCCAACAAAATCTGAGTGTTGAAGAACACTGAATGCAATGAAATGGGGAGATCCAAGAACATCCAATGCAATGTGAGTCCCCTTACAGCACTCCCTGCCTCTCCAGGAGCTGTCGCTTCGGCAAATGGGTCATCGAGAGTGATGTCCTCCGCTACAGCTTCAAAAGCCTGCCATGTTGTTTCAACAAACAGGGCACATCAAGCGTAACGACCTTGACACTTGCACACCTCTGTCACTCATACCTGGACCAAGCTGGTTGTCCATTAGCAGTTTCGTCTTTGCGGACTTAGTAGCAATATCCTTTCCCGGTGGAAAGATTGCAGTCACAATTGGCAGATGTCCATTACATTCCATTGCGTGATTGCAAGGAAAGCTCCCCCTATCATTCGGTATCCTTCGAATCCTTCAAGAGTTCAAAAGTCAAAAATGGTCAAGCTCTTCTCAAGGTTCCCTCTCACAATCCCCCAAAATATGTCTGGATACAAGTATGTCCACAATTGTTCACAGGCCTCTGGAGACTTCACAGGCTGCTCGGCCACATCGTCTTGAGTGGCGCTTTCCGGAACCTGCCAAGGAAACGACTTGGAGATGTGATCCCGAACAGGTACTGGCTTACAGTACACAAGCTGCGCAACAAGCGTGCCTTGTGAGAACACAGCAGGCCAAAAGTGGCCAAAAGCAGAGACAAAAAAAACAATCAAGAACCTGATGCTGTAGCTAGAATCTAGAAAGAAAAGAACGGTACATACAAATACATCCTGGAGATCCGTGGGGTCAGGGGACACTTCGTCTCCCTTCACAATGTTCCCTGCCTCTGCAGGAGCTGTCATTTCTGCAAATGGGTCATCCAGAGTGATGTGTTCTCCTAGTGCGGGAGCCGCCTCGCACTTTGTTTCAAAAACGCCAGGCACGTGAAACGTAAGAGCCTCAATGCAAAGAGTTACATATCCCATCATATCCCCCAAATGCATCCAAATCGCAGGAAGCCACAACAAATAGAAGCTTGTTCGACCAAAGCCAAAACGATGGCACAGTATCCCGATTGCCAGTGACAATGAAATGCCTTCAATCTCTAGATAGACTCAGATCGACATGACAATCACAATATAACTATTTGCGAGAATAAACATAATTGTCGTCCAACAAAATCTGAGTGTTGAAGAACACTGAATGCAATGAAATGGCGAGATCCAAGAACATCCAATGCAATGTGAGTCCCCTCACAGCACTCCCTGCCTCTCCAGGAGCTGTCGCTTCGGCAAATGGGTCATCGAGAGTGATGTCCTCCACTACAGCTTCAAAAGCCTGCTATGTTGTTTCAACAAACAGGGCACATCAAGCGTAACGACCTTGGCACTTGCACACCTCTGTCACTCATACCTGGACCAAGCTGGTTGTCCATTAGCAGTTTCGTCTTTGCGGACTTAGTAGCAATATCCTTTCCCGGTGGAAAGATTGCAGTCACAATTGGCAGATGTCCATTACATTCCATTGCGTGATTGCAAGGAAAGCTCCCCCTATCATTCGGTGTCGGTATCCTTTGAATTCTTCAAGAGTTCAAAAGTCAAAAATGGTCAAGCTCTTCTCAATGTTCCCTCTCACAATCCCCAAAATATGTCTGGATACAAGTATGTCCACAATTGTTCACAGGCCTCTGGAGACTTCACAGGCTCCTCGGCCACATCGTCTTGAGTGGCGCTTTCCGGAACCTGCCAAGGAAACGACTTGGAGATGTGATCCCGAACAGGTACTGGCTTACAGTACACAAGCTGCGCAACAAGCGTGCCTTGTGAGAACACAGCAGGCCAAAAGTGGCCAAAAGCAGAGACAACAAAAAAAAATCAAGAACCTGATGCTGTAGCCAGAAAGAAAAGAACGGTACATACAAATACATCCTGGAGATCCGTGGGGTCAGGGGACACTTCGTCTCCCTTCACAATGTTCCCTGCCTCTGCAGGAGCTGTCATTTCTGCAAATGGGTCATCCAGAGTGATGTGTTCTCCTAGTGCGGGAGCCGCCTCGCACTTTGTTTCAAAAACGCCAGGCACGTGAAACGTAAGAGCCTCAATGCAAAGAGTTACATATCCCATCATATCCCCCAAATGCATCCAAATCGCAGGAAGCCACAACAAATAGAAGCTTGTTCGACCAAAGCCAAAACGATGGCACAGTATCCCGATTGCCAGTGACAATGAAATGCCTTCAATCTCTAGATAGACTCAGATCGACATGACAATCACAATATAACTATTTGCGAGAATAAACATAATTGTCGTCCAACAAAATCTGAGTGTTGAAGAACACTGAATGCAATGAAATGGCGAGATCCAAGAACATCCAATGCAATGTGAGTCCCCTCACAGCACTCCCTGCCTCTCCAGGAGCTGTCGCTTCGGCAAATGGGTCATCGAGAGTGATGTCCTCCACTACAGCTTCAAAAGCCTGCTATGTTGTTTCAACAAACAGGGCACATCAAGCGTAACGACCTTGGCACTTGCACACCTCTGTCACTCATACCTGGACCAAGCTGGTTGTCCATTAGCAGTTTCGTCTTTGCGGACTTAGTAGCAATATCCTTTCCCGGTGGAAAGATTGCAGTCACAATTGGCAGATGTCCATTACATTCCATTGCGTGATTGCAAGGAAAGCTCCCCCTATCATTCGGTGTCGGTATCCTTTGAATTCTTCAAGAGTTCAAAAGTCAAAAATGGTCAAGCTCTTCTCAATGTTCCCTCTCACAATCCCCAAAATATGTCTGGATACAAGTATGTCCACAATTGTTCACAGGCCTCTGGAGACTTCACAGGCTGCTCGGCCACATCGTCTTGAGTGGCGCTTTCCGGAACCTGCCAAGGAAACGACTTGGAGATGTGATCCCGAACAGGTACTGGCTTACAGTACACAAGCTGCGCAACAAGCGTGCCTTGTGAGAACACAGCAGGCCAAAAGTGGCCAAAAGCAGAGACAAAAAAAACAATCAAGAACCTGATGCTGTAGCTAGAATCTAGAAAGAAAAGAACGGTACATACAAATACATCCTGGAGATCCGTGGGGTCAGGGGACACTTCGTCTCCCTTCACAATGTTCCCTGCCTCTGCAGGAGCTGTCATTTCTGCAAATGGGTCATCCAGAGTGATGTGTTCTCCTAGTGCGGGAGCCGCCTCGCACTTTGTTTCAAAAACGCCAGGCACGTGAAACGTAAGAGCCTCAATGCAAAGAGTTACATATCCCATCATATCCCCCAAATGCATCCAAATCGCAGGAAGCCACAACAAATAGAAGCTTGTTCGACCAAAGCCAAAACGATGGCACAGTATCCCGATTGCCCGCTACAACAAAGTTCCTTCAATCTCTAGATAGACTCAGATCGACATGACAATCACAACAAAACTATTTGCGAGAAAAAAAAATGTCGTCCAACAAAATCTGAGTGTTGAAGAACACTGAATGCAATGAAATGGGGAGATCCAAGAACATCCAATGCAATGTGAGTCCCCTCACAGCACTCCCTGCCTCTCCAGCAGCTGTCGCTTCGGCAAATGGGTCATCGAGAGTGATGTCCTCCACTACAGCTTCAAAAGCCTGCTATGTTGTTTCAACAAACAGGGCACATCAAGCGTAACGACCTTGGCACTTGCACACCTCTGTCACTCATACCTGGACCAAGCTGGTTGTCCATTAGCAGTTTCGTCTTTGCGGACTTAGTAGCAATGTCCTTTCCCGATGGAAAGATTGCAGTCACAATTGGCAGATGTCCATTACATTCCAATGCATGATTGCAAAGAAAGCTCCCCCTATTATTCGGTATCCTTAGAATCCTTCAAGAGTTCAAAAGTCAAAAATGGTCAAGCTCTTCTCAAGGTTCCCTCCCATTCCCTCTCACAATCCCCCAAAATATACAAGTATGTCCACAATTGTCCACAGGCCTCTGGAGACTTCACAGGATCCTCAGACACATCGCCTTGAGTGGCGCTTTCCGGAACCTGCCAAGGAAACGACTTGGAGATGTGATCCCGAGCAGGTACTGGCTTACAGTACACAAGCTGCGCAACAAGCGTGCCTTGTGAGAACACAGCAGGCCAAAAGTGGCCAAAAGCAGAGACAACAAAAAAAAATCAAGAACCTGATGCTGTAGCCAGAAAGAAAAGAACGGTACATACAAATACATCCTGGAGATCCGTGGGGTCAGGGGACACTTCGTCTCCCTTCACAATGTTCCCTGCCTCTGCAGGAGCTGTCATTTCTGCAAATGGGTCATCCAGAGTGATGTGTTCTCCTAGTGCGGGAGCCGCCTCGCACTTTGTTTCAAAAACGCCAGGCACGTGAAACGTAAGAGCCTCAATGCAAAGAGTTACATATCCCATCATATCCCCCAAATGCATCCAAATCACAAGAAACCACAACAAATAGAAGCTTGTTCGACCAAAGCCAAAACGATGGCACAGTATCCCGATTGCCAGTGACAATGAAATGCCTTCAATCTTTAGAGAGGACAATGAACGAGCAAAACCCTACAGTAGCTGTCGAAAAACACAAAAAAATCTGAGTGTTGAAGAACCCTGAATGCAATGAAATGGCGAGATCCAAGAACATCCAATGCAATGTGAGTCCCCTCACAGCACTCCCTGCCTCTCCAGGAGCTGTCGCTTCGGCAAATGGGTCATCGAGAGTGATGTCCTCCGCTACAGTTTCAAAAGCCTGCCATGTTGTTTCAACAGACAGGGCACATCAAACGTAACGACCTTGGCACTTGCACACCATTAGCAGTTTCGTCCTTGCGGACTTAGTAGCAATGTCCTTTACCGGTGGAAAAATTGCAGTCACAATTGGAAGATGTCCATTACATTCCATTGTATGATTGCAAGGAAAATTCCCCCTGTCATTCGGTATCCTTAGAATCCTTCAAGAGTTCAAAAGTCAAAAACTGTCAAACACTTCTCAATGTTCCCTCCCATTCCCTCTCACAATCCCCCAAAATATGTCTGGATATAAGTGTGTCCACAATTTCCACAGGCCTCTGGAGACTTCACAGGATCCTCAGACACATCGTCTTGAGTGGCGCTTTCTGGAACCTGCCAAGGAAACGACTTGGAGATGTGATCCCGAGCAGGTACTGGCTTACAGTACACAAGCTGCGCAACAAGCGTGCCTTGTGAGAACACAGCAGGCCAAAAGTGGCCAAAAGCAGAGACAAAAAAAACAATCAAGAACCTGATGCTGTAGCCAGAAAGAAAAGAACGGTACATACAAAATACATCCTGGAGATCCGTGGGGTCAGGGGACACTTCGTCTCCCTTCACAATATTCCCTGCCTCTGCAGGAGCTGTCATTTCTGCAAATGGGTCATCCAGAGTGATGTGTTCTCCTAGTGCGGGAGCCGCCTCGCACTTTGTTTCAAAAACGCCAGGCACGTGAAACGTAAGAGCCTCAATGCAAAGAGTTACATATCCCATCATATCCCCCAAATGCATCCAAATCACAAGAAACCACAACAAATAGAAGCTTGTTCGACCAAAGCCAAAACGATGGCACAGTATCCCGATTGCCAGTGACAATGAAATGCCTTCAATCTTTAGAGAGGACAATGAACGAGCAAAACCCTACAGTAGCTGTCGAAAAACACAAAAAAATCTGAGTGTTGAAGAACCCTGAATGCAATGAAATGGCGAGATCCAAGAACATCCAATGCAATGTGAGTCCCCTCACAGCACTCCCTGCCTCTCCAGGAGCTGTCGCTTCGGCAAATGGGTCATCGAGAGTGATGTCCTCCGCTACAGTTTCAAAAGCCTGCCATGTTGTTTCAACAGACAGGGCACATCAAACGTAACGACCTTGGCACTTGCACACCATTAGCAGTTTCGTCCTTGCGGACTTAGTAGCAATGTCCTTTCCCGGTGGAAAAATTGCAGTCACAATTGGAAGATGTCCATTACATTCCATTGTATGATTGCAAGGAAAATTCCCCCTGTCATTCGGTATCCGTAGAATCCTTCAAGAGTTCAAAAGTCAAAAACTGTCAAACACTTCTCAATGTTCCCTCCCACAATCCTCCAAAATATGTCTGGACACCAGATGATAAGATGATATAATGTTCACATGGCGTTAATAACCCCCCCGCAATAAAGGACGCCGACTCCCGGTTCACAATAATAAAACCCCCCCGCAATAAAGTACGCCATTTTTTTCCCCGTTTTTTTCAGTTTTTTCCCTTTAGTATTCGTTTTCAATTAGGCAATTCATTTGGGAATACATAGGTTTTTTTTTTGGAGTGAAAGTTCCTTTTATGTAATCATTTTCAATTAGGCAATTCATTTGGGAATACACAGGTGTTTTTTTTTGGGGGGGGGAAGTTCCCTTATGTATTCGTTTTCAATTAGGCAATTCATTTGGGAATACATAGGTGTTTTTTTTTGGGGGGGGGAAGTTCCCTTATGTGTTCGTTTTCAATTAGGCAATTCATTTGGGAATACATAGGTGGTTTGTTTTTTTGGAAAAGTTCTGGAGTGAAGAAAAATCAACAAGGCTCAAATGGTCGATTTCCTTACTAAAACCTTTCAAAAAATGCCAAAAAACAATCGCGCAAAGGGGGTAGCCTTGAAGTCCCCTGACATCAGACATCAAAATAATAATGTATGTTTGCACACCCCTAAATAAAGTATTTGGATTTCAGCGTTCTAAAATTTTGGTGGTTAATTAAATTTGTTTCTCAATTCCTTTCCTAGTTGAACCCTTTCTCAAACCCTTTCTGAAGCCCTCAAGACTCTTTGAGCTGGAAGCAGTAAACTCCAAACTCCAAATCTTGCCTGAAAAGTTCTGGAGTGCAAAAAAATCAACAAGGCTCAAATGGTCGATTTCCTTACTAAACCCTTTCAAAAAATGCCAAAAAACAATCGCGCAAAGGGGGTAGCCTTGAAGTCCCCTGGCATCAAAATAATAATGTATGTTTGCACACCCCTAAATAAAGTGTTTGGATTTCAGGGGTCTAAAATTTTGGTGGTTAATTAAATTTGTTTCTCAATTCCTTTCCTAGTTGAACCCTTTCTCAAACCCTTTCTGAAGCCCTCAAGACTCTTTGAGCTGGAAGCAGTAAACTCCAAACTCCAAATCTTGCCTAAAAAGTTCTGGAGTGCAAAAAAACTCAACAAGGCTCAAATGGTCGATTTCTTACTAAACCTTTTCAAAACATGCCAAAAAACAATCGCGCAAAGGGGGTAGCCTTGAAGTCCCCTGACATCAAAATAATAATGTATGTTTGCACACCCCTAAATAAAGTATTTGGATTTCAGGGTTCTAAAATTTTGGTGGTTAATCAAATTTGTTTCCCAATTCCTTTCCTAGTTGAACCCTTTCTCAAACCCTTTCTGAAGCCCTCAAGACTCTTTGAGCTGGAAGCAGTAAACTCCAAACTCCAAATCTTGCCTGAAAAGTTCTGGAGTGCAAAAAAATCAACAAGGCTCAAATGGTCGATTTCCTTATTAAACCCTTTCCTTACTAAAACCCTTTCAAGAAAGTTCACTTTATGTATGCGTTTTCAATTAGGTAATTCATTTGTGAATACTAAAGTTCCAAGAAAGTTCACTTTATGCATTCGTTTTCAATTAGGCAATTCATTTGTGAATACTAAAGTTCCAAGAAAGTTCACTTTATGTATTCGTTTTCAATTAGGCAAGTCATTTGTGAATACTAAAGTTCCAAGAAAGTTCACTGTATGTATTCGTTTTCAATTAGGCAATTCATTTGGGAATACATAGGTGATTTTTTGGTTTTTGGAACGTTCCCTTTATGTAAACGTTTTCAATTAGGCAATTCATTTGGGAATACGTAGGTGTTTTTTTTTTGGAGTGAAAGTTCCTTTTATGTAATCATTTTCAATTAGGCAATTCATTTGGGAATACACAGGTGTTTTTTTTTGGGGGGGGAAGTTCCCTTATGTAATTATTCGTTTTCAATTAGGCAATTCATTTGGGAATACATAGGTGTTTTTTTTTGGGGGGGGAAGTTCCCTTATGTATTCGTTTTCAATTAGGCAATTCATTTGGGAATACATAGGTGATTTTTACGATAGTTGAATGTTTGGGGGGGGGAGGGGGGGGTTTTGATTTATTAATACGATGTTGACATTAAGTGTGTTCACAATTGTCCACAGGCCTCTGGAGACTTCACAGGCTCCTCGGCCACATCGTCTTGAGTGGCGCTTTCCGGAACCTGCCAAGGAAACGACTTGGAGATGTGATCCCGAACAGGTACACAAGCTGCGCAACAAGCGTGCCTTGTGAGAACACAGCAGGCCAAAAGTGGCCAAAAGCAGATACAAAAAGATGGTGCGATAAGACTTTCTCTTTAAAACCATTCAAGGACCTGATGCTGTAGCCACAAAGAAAAGAATGGTACCATACAAATACATCCTGGAAATCCGTGGGGTCAGGGGACAATTCGTCTTCCTTCACAATGTTCCCTGCCTCTGCAGGAGCTGTCATTTCTGCAAATGGGTCATCCAGAGCGATGTCTTCCGCTAATACAAGAACCGCCTCGCGCTTGGCTTTAGCAGAACGCCAGGCACATGAACCTAAAAGCATCGAGACAAACATTTAATATAGTATCAATCTAGCCAAAGGGGAACACCTGGAAGTAGTTACCAGTTGCCCTGCTAGATCCCAGCCACGCAGCACACGAAGTCTTGCAGCGGCTATCCTCTGTTGTTTTCACTCACCAGGCTCGCGGTCAATCCACATGCAGCCATGTGCATAGCTCGAAGGGCGCCCTGGTAAAAGGCATTATAAGCCACCAGGACAGCGGCCATTCGACCTCAATGACTACAGTATATGTCCTCACAGGACCTTGGGTGAGAGCGTGAGCATGGATTGACACGGGCCCAAAGAAATGAAAATCGGACCAAAAGTGCCAGCTGTACGGCTCACAGCTGAAAATTCCTATCCGTGGCTCTGAATCTCAATTGAGTCAGCTCTGCACGGATCTTTCGCGCCTCTGTCACTGTGGCAGCATTCATCTCTTCATAGTCCAAGCCAAGAAGCAAAGCGTTCTCCAGAACACTCAGCATGGCATCACGTTATGCTCTGCCAACTCCATCCCATTCGTCGGGATACATGGGGACAGACGGTGCGTCCATGTTTCTGTTGATGATCTTCTCGATCTGCTCCTGAATGAGGCAATCCTCGATGGAAGGGCGCAAAGATTGTACAAAGTCTTCTCGCCTCTCGTTGACCTTGTTGTCCCGTATCCACAATGGACCAAATGTCGGATCTCTGCGGGAATCATCCTCTTGATGTCAGGACGATGTCCAGGATCATTGATTGGATCCGGTTCTGCATCTTGTTCTGTTTGTTCTTGGGATTCCTGCGTGGAATCCGCGTACTTTTGCCATCCTTGCCATTCTTGCATGGTCGGTGTATTGATGAGCTCGGCTTTGTTCCCGTTGAAGCTGTCTTGCTTCTTGACGTCCAATTCGCTTGCCGATGTGGTAGGCAATCAGGATGCCAAAGATCAGGATGATGCCAGCTTGTGAGATTTCACCCCGGTCTGCTTCTTGTGTTGGTGGGCATGGTAGTGTCGCTTGGAGCAATACTTCTTGCCCTCTTCCGTGGCCAGTCCACATCCAGGAAGTAGACAGATACGGCATTCTTCCAATTGTTCTTCATCCAATTCATTAGATCAGGGTGAAGATGCCCTCTTGGATTCTCTTCTTGCTCTCAAACTCCTGGGCAGCTTTGTCCAGTGCGTCTTGCTCGTCTTGATTTTCCCTTGTTTGGATGCGACTCTCAAAGGGTCGTAGAGAAGACTGTGCATTCTCCTCTTCAGCTCTTGTGCCAGCTTGATGCGGGCGGATGTCTTGGTCGATCAGCCAGTTTCATGCCAGGCGCCTTGGAGACTGAAGCGTCATATAGTGCTCGAGCATCGGTGATGCAAGGGGACTCGCCAAGCCATCCGATGATCTCCTCGTTGTCGGGGCGTTGGTTTGGCCAGATCATCAGGGCAAAGAGACACTTGAGCCACTCCAGAGAGCCAATGGCCATTGCTAGTGCCTGAGCCTCAGCTAAAAGTGAACTTCGGCAGACTCGTGTGAGTCTTTTGGATGCCCAGTCGATGACCGTCAAGGGGAAAGGCTTGCCACTGTTGAGCTCGTCAGAGTTGGCCACAAAAATCAGCCGCCCACCTTGGGAAGATCCATCGGGACGGGTCGCCCAACTGGCGTCACAGTACATGCCAAATCGGATTATAGTGGTCCATGTGCACGGACTTACTTATGCTTAGCGGAATTTTAGTTTTTTTCTTGTGACTATTTTTTGTGTAAAAATGTTTGCTGTTTTTGTTTGTATTTTTCAAATTTTCTTTTCTCGTTTGCTCTCAGCAAAGTTATTTTCCG